GCCTCTCACCGCTGTGGCCTCTCCCGTTGCGGAGCACAGGCTCCGGACGCGCAGGCTCCGGACGCGCAGGCTCAGCGGCCATGGCTCACGGGCCCAGCCGCTCCGCGGCATGTGGGATCTTCCCGGACCGGGGCACGAACCCACGTCCCCTGCGTCGGCAGGCGGACTCTCAACCACTAGCGCCACCAGGGAAGCCCAAGGCTCACCTTTTAAAATGTGAACCTGGCAGAAGATGCAGATGAAGAAGGAGGAAGGAGAGGAGGGGGAGGAGAAAGAAACAGAGGAGGAAGGAGAGAAATAAGGAACGTACTGTATTCAAAGAACGAGTGCTTGTAATGGTCCAGCTAAAGTCCAGTGCTGGCTAGGGTCAACTTCTCTGGGCTCTCTGGGCATTAATCTCAGCTGATTAAGGACTAACAAGAGGAAAAATTTGTTTAATTCCACACTGCACCAATTCCCCCTCCAAATGATTGAGTTCCTGAGTCTCATGATCATTACTGAGTGAGTACATCCACAGCAGCTGCTTTTTAGATTTCACGTATGATGTCTGCATGGTACCAGGTATATTTCAAACTACCCAGATGAACATGTCATCTGAACTTATGAAAGGAAGACTCAGAAACAAACAAAAAATGAGAAAGAAAGAAAAAAGATGCTTTCTTATTTTTAAAAAAATGGTAAGGGTCAGATTTTAGAAAGACCAGTCCAGTCCAAAAAGAAAAAAAAAAGTATTTAAAGATAAAAATCAGAATATTACCAAAGTTAGTTTATAGTTAGTATGTTTATGGTGGAAAAGCAGTCATTTTCTTACATGATTATCACTTCTACCAAGGTTGTGATGTATCTTCAGATGTTAGCATCACCGAAGCCAAGAATGAAATTGGTTTTTTTGGTCAGTCAGTCACTTAAGAGGAATTGATCCAAGGTTTTGTGGATTTGGAGAGCTAGAATTCTACAAAATGACCTGTTTGCTTTGTTTGTCCGTCTAAGTGTACAAAGTGTTTTCTTCCTGTATATGACTTGCACGTTTATTGTAATGTCCACAGAACAACGTATCAGCTTTACTTCTACAGCCCTTTCTTTGTTCAAGTCTCTGCCACTAAGGGACGTCCCTGGCGGTCCAGTAGTTAAGACTCCATGCTTCCACTGCAGGAGGCACAGGTTTGATTCCTGGTCAGGGAACCAAGATCCCCGTGTGGCCAAAAACAAACAAACAAGCAAAGAAAAAACCCCCAAAAGTCTCTGCCTCTAAGACAAGAATTTGTCTGCATATGGTTTTTTGAAACAGTTTTTTGATTCAGTATTATTATTAATTAATTAATTTATTTTTGGCTGTGTTGGTTCTTCGTTGCTGCGCCCAGGCTTTCTCTAGTTGCAGACGAGCGGGGGCTACTCTTCATCGCGGTGCGTGGGCTTCTCATTGCAGTGGCTTCTCTTGTTGCGGAGCACGGGCCCTAGAGTGCGCGGGCTTCAGTAGTTGTGGCTCATGGGCTGTAGAGCGCAGGCTCAATAGTTGTGGCGCACGGACTTAGTTGCTCCGCGGCATGTGGGATCTTCCCTGACCAGGGCTCGAACCCGTGTCTCCTGCATTGGCAGGCGGATTCTTAACCACTCTGCCACCAGGAAAGTCCCTGATTCAGTATTATTAATTTGATGTTTTCTTTTATTTGAGAACTTTTATTTAGCTAAGTGTTACAAGATGTGTTTGTTGATCAATACTTAAGGACACAAAGAGTTCATACTGTATGTTAAACAAAACTAGAATCCCGTGATGCTAAAAAGGTTGACAGTTCATTTTTGTCTGGAAACGTAACATCACAGGAGTTGTCGTTCACTTTCACGGTTCAAAATTAGTTTATGATTCTTACCAACTCATCTACTGGGGTCAGGGACCAAGGGACATGTAAGTGAGCTTCTCTGGGCTCTATTCACCAAATCTTAACTGTAAGAATATCACTGATCTCAGAGATGCCCAAGTTTGTGCATGCTCATGACAAACCAAAAAGTGTTATTTTGACTATCTATAATTCTGGGCTTCCATAAGCCTTGCAACAGTATCAGTTTCTAAGAGGGACTTTTGAGCATCATTTCCGCATGTGAAGAGCTGTCCTTGATTTCTTTTGTGTTTTAATTTACCAACAAGCTGATGTTTATGTTCTATCTTTTGAAGTATTTAATTCAATTCCATTTTGGGAAAAAGATGGGGCTTTCCCCAGTGTTTTGGCTGAGGTGTTTTTTTTTTTTTTTAATAACTGTGTTTATTTTTACTTGTTGACAGTTTGCTTTATTTATTTATTTATGGCTGTGTTGGGTCTTCGTTTCTGTGCGAGGGCTTTCTCTAGTTGTGGCAAGCGGGGGCCACTCTTCATCGCGGTGCGCGGGCCTCTCACTCTCGCGGCCTCTCTTGTTGCGGAGCACAGGCTCCAGACGCGCAGGATCAGTAGTTGTGGCTCACGGGCCCAGTTGCTCCGTGGCATGTGGGATCTTCCCAGACCAGGGCTCGAACCCGTGTTCCCTGCATTAGCAGGCAGATTCTCAACCACTGCGCCACCAGGGAAGCCCCTTGGCTGAGGTTTTGACATAAGTGTTTTGTTTGGTTGTTTTTTGGTTTTGTTTTGGAGGGTTTTTTGTCTTTTGCCATTTTAAGTGTACAAGTCAGTGGCATTAATTACATTCACAATGTTGTGTAAATATCACCATTATTTCCAGAACTTTTTTTTATCATCCAAAACAGAAACTATACCCATAAACAATAACCTCCCATTCTACCCTCCCTCCAGCCCTGTAATCTCTATTCTACTTTCTATCTCTATGAACTTGACCGCTCTAGGGACCTCTTATAAGTGGAGTCATACAATATTTGTCCTTTTCTGTCTGATCCTTTTTTTCCTTTTTGGCCATGCCACGCGGCATGCGGGACCTTAGTTCCCCTAACAGGGATGGAACCGTGCCCCCTGCAGTGAAAGGATGAGTCCTACCCACTGGACCACCAGGGAATTCCCTGTGTCTGATTCTTAACCGTGGGATTATCATACCTAATTGGATGAGATTTCTGACATGAATACAAGTTTACTTATACATTTGATTTATTCTTTTTTTAAAAAAAATAAATTTATTTATTTATTTTTGGCTGCATTGGGTCTTCGTTGCTACCCGTGGGCTTTCTCTGGTTGCGGCGAGCTGGGGCTACTCTTCGTTGCGGTGCGCGGGCTTCTCATTGCGGTGGCCTCTCTTATTGCGGAGCACGGGCTCTAGGCGTGCGGGCTTCAGTAGTTGTGGCTTGCAGGCTCCAGGGCGCAGGCTCAGTAGTTGTGGCGCACAGGCTTAGTTGCTATGCGGCATGTGGAATCTTCCTGGACCAGGGCTCCTACGCATGTCCCCTGCATTGGCAGGCAGATTCTTAACCACTGAGCCACCAGGAAAGTTCCGATTTATTCTTGATTTATCTAATTCTATCCCGGTAGGAAGGAGGACAGATTTTTTGAACGTATGTAAATGCTACATATTCCAGAAAAGGAACTTAATAAAGACACTTTGTGAATATTAAGCCATCATTCTGAATAGTTTTATAAGCAAGGCCAATTTACATATGCTATTATTTTACAGAATAATTATCTTTGTTTTCCTGAGGATTTGTTAGTTCATAATCTATAATAGGAATTTTTTTTTTTTTTTTTTTTTTTTTTTTTTTTTTTTTTTTTTTTTTTTTTTTTTTTTTTTTTTTTTTTTTTTTTTTTTTTTTTTTTTTTTTTTTTTTTTTTTTTTTTTTTTTTTTTTTTTTTTTTTTTTTTTTTTTTTTTGGGGGGTACGCGGGCCTCTAACCGCCGTGGCCTCTCCCGCCGTGGAGCACAGGCTCCGGACACGCAGGTTCAGCGGCGTTGGCTCACGGACCCAGCCACTCCGCGGCATGCGGGATCCTCCCAGACCGGGGCACGAACCCGTGTCCCCTGCATCGGCAGGAGGACTCCCAATCACTGCGCCACCAGGGAAGCCCTATAATAGGAATTTTTATAAGGATTTTTTTTATTCTGAGGTGTCAGTTGGAATAATATATCATTTACAGAATGTATCTTAGTTTGCACATGTATTTCCTTATATTGAGGGTAGGAGAGTAAGAAAGAAAGGTTTTTGTTTTTTTTTTTTCTCTCACATAGTCATCAATAGAACATTAACCTGAGTAATTAATTCTCATTTTGTTAAGCAATCTGCTCTTATGAAGTTGCCTACTTCTGAAATAAAAGATTCTGGTGAAATTCTGACTCAGTCCCCTTTGGTGGCCCTATGAGTCTTTATCCACGAATTTATTACACTTCATAAATTTCCCATAGTGGAGTTGGGGGGAAGAGATTTGCTGGCAGATAGATTATATTGTAATCAGACCATTCTTTTATGAAATCCTTTTGTTTTTTTCATTTACATACATAAAAACAAAAAGAATTGGCAGCTGTGATTTTACTATTTTAATTACGGGTCCAAAATAAACACAGCATAAAATCTAACAGTCCATCAGCTCCTAATTTTACAGGGCTGCTTTCCAGGAATCATATGTGTGTGCGTGCACATACCGCACCCCTACCCCCCAATTTTTGAGTGATTTAAATTCATAATGGCATACAAGACAACAATAACAGGGCTCCCAGGAGATATCTGAATACTCAAGACAAACAGACCAAAAGACAGCGAGAGAGAGAGAGAGAAACACAAAATACAATCAAACTCTCATCGACTGCCACCCAGCAGAGAATAAATTCCTATCATCTGTCTCCCGACGGAGACCACCAGATGGTCAAACCATAAAAGCAGAGTCACTGATTGTAGTCATCAGTGGGGACATAAGTGGCCCCATGCAAATAAGTACAAGAACCAGAATCAGACTTGTCCAAGAATCAGACAATCTAGAATCAGAAATAAAAACAGAGTAGAGGTGGGGAGGGAGGAGAGAAACATCAGAAGAATAAAAGCTATTGTCATACAAGATTCACCCTCGGAATTGAAAAAAGGGGCACGTCTGAATGTAAACAGCCCATGGGACGCATTTCTCAGGCAACACAGTTTACTCAGCTTTGGAACAGACTCAGTGGAACCTCCAGCAGCAACCAGAAACAAGAGGTAAAAAGTCATTCATTGAATAAGAACCTGCAGAGAAGTTGCAAGGGAATCAGACTGCAGAAGGAAAGGCTTAATCCAATAAAAAATATATAATAGGTGTTTAAAGAAAAAACGATTACCAAGATTACTAGGTTTATAGTTCATCTCCGTTGATGGTGGAAAAATAGCAAATTTCTCACATGCTTATCAGATCTAGAAAGGTCATGAGGTATTGCAACTTCGCAAAAGTCAGAGAAATCCAAAATATGAAGAAATCAGAGCATCGCTAGCATAAATCAGCACTGGAAGGGAACATACATCTTTCTTCTGGTTTGCTCTTTTTTTTTTTATGTACCATTAAGTAGTCTATCAAAGGTCCTAAAAGAAATGAACGGCTCATTTTTCCTAAGGCTTACATCTTATGATTACAGGCATTCTGCATTTTCTTTGTCATGTAAATTTTAAGAATCTCGCTAATTTCACTAGTATTGGAGAAAATAAATTGTCTTGTCATGAGTTTACATTCTTAACAAAATTATAATTTTATTAGTTAAGATTTACAGCTTTGTGAGATGTGAATTCACAAAATGTTACAAAAACAAATTCATTAATGTGTAAATAAGTTTGAAATCAATTAAAAACATTTTAAAGTCAAGGATAAAGTTGTTTTTGTTAGTTACAGGAAAGGCACAGGTTTCATTTGTTTTTGGGGACTGGAACTAGACCAGATGGCCTCATTTCTGTTTGTTTCAAGGTCAAAGTGGGTTTTTGTCCCTTTGAGGGGTGTGATATAAAACTTATTTATAATGGCCACAGGACAAGATGTCAATTTTGCTTCCACAAACCAAATAGCTGGATGTTTGACAGAAATTTTCATTTCCTAGCTCAATGTTAGAGAGGTTCTTTAGACAGGAGGTGACTGGTATCCGTTAAGATGCTTTCTTTTGCAAGTAACAGAAAAACAGAAAAACCAACTCAAACTGGCTTAACTAATAAAGAGAATTATCAGCTTCTGTGTGAAAACCCACAGCAGTGGAGAGGAGGCTTCAGGCACTGTTTGATGAATGCTCCAGCTCAGTTTGTCTATAATACTCTCAGCGTCTCTCAATTCTATATGTCACCTTGGTCCACAGCCTGGCTTCCCTCATGGTGGCAAAATGGCCACATCTGTTCCTGCCCTCACATCCACATACAAGAGAGGACTTCTCTTCTTTCAACCACTGAACAAAAGAACTAGGCTTGACTCAAATTAAGCCAACTTAGATTACAAAGCTTCTCTGGAACCAATCACTTGGCAAGGGGAATAGGTTTATACTGGTGACCCTATCCAGTCAGGGCCAACCCTGGAGAGGAGGATTGGGTCAATCCCATCCAAACAGCATGGCTACTATACAATGGGGAAGGAAGAAACGCCTGTTAGAGAGGCAACCCCAATGTTCACCATGGATTCTCAGCTATTACCTAGTCCTATAGTCCCCCAACACATGCATACTATTTTCTTCTCTTTAGCTAAGAAGACTTTTCTTTAAAAGAAATCTTTCAATCCCATCCAAACAGCATGGCTACTATACAATGGGGAAGGAAGAAACGCCTGTTAGAGAGGGAACCCCAAAGTTCACCATGGATTCTCAGCTATTACCTAGTCCTATAGTCCCCCAACACATGCATACTATTTTCTTCTCTTTAGCTAAGAAGACTTTTCTTTAAAAGAAATCTTTCAGGGGGCTTCCCTGGTGGCGCAGTGGTTGGGAGTCCGCCTGCCGATGCAGGGGATGCGGGTTCGTGCCCCGGTCTGGGAGGATCCCACGTGCTGCGGAGCGACTGGGCCTGTGGGCCATGGCCGCTGAGCCTGCGCGTCCGGGGCCTGTGTTCCGCAGCGGGAGAGGCCACAACAATGAGAGGCCCGCGTACTGCAAAAAAAAAAAAAAGAAATCTTTCAGAAGCCTAAATAGATTAAAATGGACCTGCTTAGGCTGGGGTGCTGATGACAGAGCCCAACCTGCTCACTCCTTGGGACACCCCTTTATCACTCCATTTCCGGGAGTTATGTCAAGCACAGTTTGAAACCAACTGGAGTAACCTAGCTGCTTAATTCTAAAATGGAGAAACCCATTTAGGGCCAGAGAGGGAAAGTGACTTGGCCAAGACTACGGAGCCATTAGGTAGCAGAGCTGGGACCACAACTTGGATTTTTGTAGTTTTTGGTTCAACGTCATTCTTATAAGGAATCTTGGGGTCTCGCTCTCTCTTCCCATGTATTTCAACAGTGCGTGAAATCCTGGTGCCTTAGGGCAGAGCTACCCCCTCTCTATGCCCTTGAGCTACTGACCATCTACGCCTGGGAAGTGGGTACTCAGGAGGAGGCATGTTTCAGGTTGGACAGCGGCCTGGCCACCGTGATGAGACTGCTTCAGCAGTATCAGTTACTCTGCATCTACTGGACCGACTACTACACGTTCCAGAACCCGATCATTGAGGACTTTGTCAGAAAACAGCTCAAAAAAGAGAGGTACTAGATCACTGCATGCCAACCACATCTCAAAGAGAAAAGAAAGAGAATTAAGGGAAAGGTGGTATCGAGTTTTCTGGGTGGGCTTTATCTCACCCTGACACACTTGACATCTCAAGTCGACTGCCTTTCAAAATTGCAAGGACCTTAGGGGCTATAAGCCTTTTCCTTGTTCCTCAAGCCACCAACCCACCCTACCTTAGCCCTCTTGCTCTCAGAAGACCATTTCAGGAAAACATTTCAGAAAAGCTAAGCTACCTTAGCTTTTTAGTGACAGCACGGGAGACTGGAAAGAACCAGGGAGACCCAAGTGTAAGCCCAGCTCCACAATTTTCTCATCTCTATTCCTCATCTATAAAACAGGAGTAATTGGCACCAAACATGCAGGACTGTTGGGAGAGTCAGACAAAATATTTGTAAAGGGCCTACAGTATCTAGCCTATGACAGATGCCAGATAAATGTTGTAGCACATGCTGCCTGTACCCATTCGTATCCCCTGGGCCTTTACCGTTTCCAGGAAGGCTGGTTCAACCTCCAGCTGTCAGCACCTGCGTCCCTTTGCCTGTGGGTTTTCAGCTTCCCCAAGTGACTGGTGGAAGTTGGTGTATAAATACCCCAGCTCCCTCCCATCTCAGATGGAGGGACTCTCTTTGGGACACATGTTCTCCACTACTTCCCAGAGTCCACCCTGGGGGACTAACCCCCACTTGCTCACAGTGGTAATCACCTTGACTCATACCCTTTACTGGCATCCTTCCCTTCTCTGTCTCATTTTCCCACTCTCTTATTGGTGCTTCCTGGTATCTCCTTCCAAATAAGTGACTTGCACTCAAATCCTGATCTTAGGATCTGCTTCTGGGGGAACCCAGCCTGGGACATCTCTTTACATTAGAAGTTTTAGGTCAATGCAAGCAATATCGCAAGATTGTTTATTATTCCCTTATGTGAGTGTCGGGTCTTTTTTTACAATGGAGAAAAACCTGGCCTTCTAATGAAAAGAGGATTTATTGTAAGGATGCCCAGAAAATTCACCTTGTAAAACCACTGGGACCTGAGGCAAATCTATAGACTCCCCCTCTCTCTGTTGCTCACTCTTATTGCCCACGTGCTCCCTTTCCTCTCACTGCTTCTCTCTCCACACCTGTTCAGCTCCCCTCTTACTCCTAGTTGATGAGGAACATACATCATTCCTGGTCCAAACTCCAGAGGGAATAAGTCTGATCACTGGGCACAGGGCCTGCATATCAGGTCACCTGGTGGGTCACTTTGGGTCAGGTGACCCCACCCCATAGGTCAGCGTGTTATTACTCTAAATGAGGCAGGACCATTCAGGGAGTCAGGGATGTTAGGAGTTGAGAGCATGGAGCCTAAGGTGTCTAGTTCATGTCAGTAGCCTGCTATCACATTGTGTCACTTAGATAAAATCTCAGCTCCCACCTAAGTCAAAAGCTCCTGGAGTACAAGGGCCAGGTCTTGATCATGGGCTTGCCATCCAGCACATGTGGTCACCCCAAGCAACCCAAATAGGCTATTAGACCCCCTTCAAGCCAATATTCTTTAAAGTATTTATTCAACATTTACCTAGAGGAGAGATGCTTGGAGACAGCCCAACCTCTCCTCTGTTGAGGCAGAGGAGATGGGTAAGAATCCCTAGGGATAACCTAGGGAGATCTGTGCCTCGGTTTCCTCATCTGTAAAATGGGGGAAAATCATCATCACAATCATCGTCATCATAGGCCCTACCTTATAGAATTGCTGTAGGGATTAAAATAGGTTAATTCACATAGGGTTTGAGCCCATGCCTCAATAAACATCAGTAAATAGTGGTGGTGGTGTTACTGTCATCCAAAGCAATTCAGCAGCTCTAGCCTTGAACTCACTTATGTAGCCTGTTCAGCAAAATGAAGGCTCTGAACTTGAGGCCCACCTGCCTGAGTGGGCCGCTGTTACTGTTCCAGCATGCCTTTGGAGCTCCCACCCTCCGTACACCTCAAAAATTCCTTGCAAACACCTAAAGTACTCTGCACAAGAGGAATTCTTGGAAACAGAATCCTCTCCATTCTGTTACTCTCCGGCAATGTTTTTGGGCCCTCCTAGACTGACAGTCCTGGGCTCTGGACATAGCAGATGCTCAGATGATTGCCAAGAAGGTTTCTTTCTGGCTTGCGGGCCTCCAAACCAGAAAGAACCTGGGCGCCTTCTCTCTGTGTTGCAGGCCTATCATCCTGGATCCAGCTGACCCCACCCACAATGTGGCAAAAGGCTACAGATGGGACATAGTCGCTCAGAGGGCCTGCCAGTGCCTGAAACAGGACTGTTGCTATGACAACTACGAGAACCCAGTCCCCAAATGGAACGTGAAGGTAATGGCTCCTCTCTGGGCTGCCAAGGGCTTGAAGCTCAGAATGAGATAACTGCATAGTATTTACTTCTGTGTCGATGGAGCCAAGAGGACTTTAGTGTCGGTTTGAGGCCTGGCTGCACCACCTACCAGCTCTGTGAACTTGGGGAAATTATTCAACTGTCTGAGCTTCAGATTCCTTATCTTCAAATTCTTGTTTTCCTGTCTTTTCTTCTTCCCATAACCTACCAAAGAATCACTGGGATTCTTTGCTCTCAGTCATTCTCTGCATAAGCTGAGCCCAGGCAAGTCAATTCAATCAGCTGTTTTGGGCCAGCACCAGGCTTGGGGTTGATGGGGGGTGACCAAGGGGGCAACAATGGTTCAGAAATAAGACATGGCCATAACCCTTAAGAAACTTGCCAGATGGAAGCAAACTTGCACAAAACTGCTAAATAGAATTACCAGAGAAGATATTCAGAAAACAAAACACTGCCATATAATATTATAATGTGATGCCAAACCCACAGTACAGGTAAAGAACATAATAATCTATTTTATTCACATTGTGCTTTACGATTTGCATAGCACTTGTTCAGGGACAAGTCTATAAAATAGAAAGGTCAAGTAGTATTATTATCTTTATCATTACTATCACCATTTTACAGATGAGGAGACTGAGGCTCAGAGAGGTAAAGTGAATTAACCAAGGTCACACTGCTAAGAAGCAGCAGAGCCAGAACTCACACCCAGGCCTTTGTGGGGCTGTGGAATCGGAAAATAAATGTCATCATCATAAGTCACCAAGGAAGATTCCTTGAAGAAATTAAGGCATGAGGTGGGCCCTAAAAGCCAAGGACGGATGTAGACACTCAGAACAAAGGGTACTCCATCCAGGGAGAGGGTCAGGGTAGGGGATGAGGGGCAAAGGACTACAGTTGTGTGCAAAAGACTGAGGTGCTTAGAGCAGAAAGCAGAAGCAGAATCAGGGGCTCCCTAATAAGGAGCAGAGATTACAAACTGGGGGCCCACCAGCCATATGAGGCCCACAGATGGGCTGAAAAGTATATGCCTTTGGATTTTTCCTGAATATAAAAACCATCACGAAAAGATTTTTTTTTTTTTTTTTGCGTTACGCGGGCCTGTCGCCGCTGTGGCCCCTCCCGCTGCGGAGCACAGGCTCTGGATGCGCAGGCCCAGCGGCCATGGCTCACCGGCCCAGCTGCTCCGCGGTATGTGGGATCCTCCCGGACCGGGACACGAACCCATGTCCCCTGCCTCGCCAGGCGGACTCTCAACCACTGTGCCACCAGGGAAGCCCCATGAAAAGATTTTTATCTTGACAAATCAGAAGACTTGGCAATGCTGGGCCTATATTCCTTCTTAAAAGGATCAGCTAGAGGTCGGCCCACCATTCCCCTCCCCCAGCACCTTCCAGATGTTGCTCTTCAGACATCTGGGGCTCTCAGGCCCTTGAGTGTGGCCTCCGGTGGTGAAGAACAGACTTTGGAGTCTGGCTGACCTCAGTTCAAATACCTGCTCATGTGGGCAGAAGACCTAAATAGACATTTCTCCAAGAAGACATACAGATGGCCAACAAATACATGAAATGATGCTCAACATCACTAATCATTAGAGAAATGCAAATCAAAACCACAATGAGGTATCACCTCACGCCAGTCAGAATGGCCATCATCAAAAAATCTACAAACAATAAATGCTGGAGAGGGTGTGGAGAAAAGGGAACTGCACTGTTGGTGGGAATGTAAATTGATACAGCCACTATGGAGAACAGTATGGAGGTTCCTTAAAAAACTAAAAATAGAACTACCATACGACCCAGCAATCCCACTACTGGGCATATGCCCTGAGAAAACCATAATTCAAAAAGACACATGTACTATAATGTTCACTGCAGCACTATTTACAATAGCCAGGACATGGAAGCAACCTAAATGTCCACCAAAAGATGAATGCATAAAGAAGATGTGTCACATATATACAGTGGAATATTACTCAGCCATAAAAAGGAACGAAATTGAGTTATTTGTAGTGAGGCGGATGGACCTAGAGTCCATCATACAGAGTGAAGTAAGTCAGAAAGAGAAAAACAAATACTGTATGCTAACACATATATATGGAATATGAAAAAGCAGTATTGATGAACCTAGTGGCAGGGCAGGAATAAAGACGCAGACGTAGAAAACAGACTTGAGGACATCGGGGGTGGGGAAGGGGAAGCTGGGATGAAGCGAGAGAGTAGCACTGACATATATACACTACCAAATGTAAAACAGGTAGGTAGTGGGAAGCTGCTGCATAGCAAAGGGAGATCAACTCGATGCTTTGTGACAACCTAGAGGGGTGGGATAGGGAGGGTGGGAGAGAGGCTCAAGGGGGAGGGGATATGGGGATATATGTATACATATAGCTGATTCACTTTGTTGTACAGCAGAAACTAACACAACATTGTAAAGCAATTATACTCCAATAAAGATGTGGAAGAAAAAACAAACAAACAAATACCTGCTCTGCTCCTCCCTACTTTTGTGATGGTCAATAAATGGCGTAACCCTGCTCAGCCACAGTTTTCTCATCTGTAAAATGGGCTAATAGCAGAACCAACCTCATAGCGCTGTTGTGAGAATAAAATACATTAAGAAGAGGATGAACAGCACCCAGCACAGGGCCTGGAAGGTGATTGGAACCCCCTAAATGTTTGCAGCTGCTGCTGTCGTTGTAAAGATGAGGACAGGTAAAGGGCACTTTTGTACTCAGACGGAGGGGTGTGGACTTAACCCCTCTTTGTCCTCTCCCTTCCAGGGGGCACGAGACATCCAACTGACAGTGGAGCAGTGGGGTTCCTCGGATTTCATCATCATGATGAACCCTTATGACTCCATAAAGAAGGTTAAAAGGAAGATCCAGTGGAACCTGGGCTCCACATTCCTCCAGCGTCTGTCCTTCCAGGAGTCAGGTGGGGAGCGACAGCTCCTCAGTAGCCAGTACTCCTTGGCTGATTACGGGGTTTTCTCCAACACTCGCATCTGTCTGCTGCAGACCATCTCCCCTGAGATCCAGGTCTTTGTGAAGAATCCCAGTGGTGGGAGCCACGCCTATGCCATTTACCCCGATAGCCTTGTCCTGAACCTGAAGCTGCAGATTGAAGTCAAGGAGGGGCTGCTCAGAGAGGAGCAACAGCTAGAGTTCCAAGGCCAAGTCCTGCGGGATGGGTGGAGTTTGAGGAGCTATGGTGTCCAAGACAGCACCACCCTCATGCTGAAGAAAGAAGGAAAGAAGAACCCAGCTAGTTCCTCTGAAAGACCTCTCTGTGCATTTCTGCCATTTAATCCAGACCCCATCAGTTCCACCTGACCTTGCCAGTAGACGGATGACGAGGGATATGAGAGACTAGATATACAAACGAACAATGGCCAGACCATATTCGACAATAGAACTCTGACCCACAAGCTCTGCAGCCACCAGCCTGAAGCCAAAGCACAATCCCTGCATCAATCAACCCCAAACCATCAGGATTTGGTCAATAACTGCCAGCTTCCTCATTCCCTCCCTTCCAATTTAGGATCGATGAAAGAAAGCCAAACAAGCTCCCTAACCAATCACATAGGACAGCCTGCTTCTGCTTAGCCCGCCTCCAGCTTCCCCATGCAAACAACCTCAGTCAGGGTATGCCTGAAGCCTTCTCTTTTTCCCACTATAAAGCTGTCCCACCGCCCTGCTTGCATTGGAGTCTCTGCCAAAGGCAAGGGATGGTGGCTGATTCCCTGACTATAGCAAGTTGGGAATAAATAATCTTTGTTCTCTTTCGGATGGTCTTCATTTCTTTCCACAGATGCTAAGGCTGTCCTGGCATTACTGCTTAAACATTTGAGCCTCTCAACTCTGGAAAGTGA